ACATGGTTGACTTGAAAAGAAAGTGGGCTGAAAAGTGGACTGAAAGCTAAAAGTTACGCTCGACTGACTTTCTCATGGGCTCCTGCATATAATTAGTCATTCAGTTTCCCTGAGAATGACAGTACTTCTTTTGACGTGAATTAATTTTAAATACATTTTTTTGTGGGCTTACAGCTGCTTAAGGATGCTTTTGAAAACATTACGTTTGTTGGTGGACAATGAAACGAATTAATTCAAACAGCTATTGCATTCCATTCTATCTCACATTTCACCCTCACAGCCACGCAGATAAATCTACTTTTCTTAGAAATTTAAATTACTCCAAAAAGATTAGATACTGGTACTATCTTTTCGCAACTTCCACTTACTTTTTTTCCAACGTGAGAAAAACCTAGGTAAATTTTTAGTCAGTAGTTCATTTCAAACCAGTGACCAACCTGAAAGTTTTGAATGCGCTTGCGCACGACGCAAAAGTAACGTAGAGAAAAAGTCGGAACTCAAGAGATCCACGAAGATCACTGATCACTTTACGTGCACCTCTGCCAATGACATTTATTGCATAACTTGCACTTATTGCAAAAAGTTATACATTCGTGGAACAGGAAGACGACTGGGTGACCGATTCCGAGAACACCTTCCAATTCGCGACGTAGAAAAAAACGACAAAGACGCATCCCAACCAGTCAGTAGACACTTGAATATCCGTAATCACTCTAAGAAGCATATGGCAGTTTGCGGCCTTTCTTTACGTCTAGGCAGTTCGGAAAGCTGCACTCGTGTCCACTGAGCCACAGAGACTCTACAGTAAGCAAGGTCTATTACGAAGTTTAGACTTCATAATAAAGTCTCTGTGGCTCAGTGGTGGAGCACGGAGTCCGGAATCCAAAGGTCTAAGGTTCGATTCCTCATGGGAATTTTTTTCAGAATTTTCTCTTTGTCCCACGCTCGTTACCATAAAAAACATTTACATTTTTGTACGTGTGTATGTATGTTATACCAAATAGTGCTTGAAGAACTTTGTCGTCCTTTTATACAAGACACATTGCCGAATTGCAGTCAGATAATCTCTTCGAATAAAAGTGATTCATGGTTAAAACCATTTTCTGAAATTTAAGTCAACAGCAGTTGTTCTGGATTTTGTTCTGTGTTCCGTTCTAAGTGATACGTTTTTCTTAACCCTTTTACTTGGTGTACTGGTACAAACTTAACAAACATATCCGGACGTTATTCAGTTGGTCTAATCATAATACGTAAATTATTCTTAGGCTGATTTTCTTATTATTATACATTTTATTTTCCTCTATTGGTAGTTTGTTGTATGCACTTTTTTTTCGGTTACTCGTGATCAGGTGGGGAACGTGACCATCTGCGTTTCAGTATTAGCCTGAATAAAGTAAGTTTATAGATATAGAAAAAATACACTGATTTGTAAAATCGTTTAATCCTTGGACGCACAAGTACCCCCACCGAGACATAAAAAAGGTTGCGGAGAAACTCTTTTTATTTTCATACTGCTTCAGTATTTTAAAAATATTTTCCGTCGAAAAAAAATTTTCCTTAGCCCTATTTCCTGACCGTTCGGCTCACCATAATAATTTCATTACTTTTACTATAGTAGCCATGATTTGTTACAAAAGAACATAATCGAAGCTGGTAACGCTGCTAGAAATAAAAAGAAGCTATCGAGTATAGAGTGGTTTTCCTTGTCTACTACAGTAATGTAGCGTGAAAAAAAAACAAAAAAAGGTTTAGTCGTGATATGAAGGAGCACAAACATCCACGATCAATCGCGTTATTTCTTCCACCGGAACTCTGTTCAGAAAACTGTCGAGAGGCTGCACATGACTATCGTGTAATTGTTCCTAGGGACACAGCGGCAAAATGAGTGTGCGTGCTTGTAATGCGCGCAAAGGAATGGGAACGACAATATTTGTATAGTAACACTCTGGTGTCAAATTGCGACTTTTCTAAAATTCCATTGTCCGCTTTCATTTTGCGGAGATAAGCTCAAACCGTTTTCAGAAAAGTTTCCGTCAAACCTTTTCCGTGATACGTCTCACTCAACTAAAATTGCGGAAACAGGGGTGAATTATGTGTCGTGATTCCACCCGAGTAAGGTCACAACATTGGAGTTCTACCCATACTCTAACAAACTTAATTCCTCTAAGATATTCAAACCTTGTTTTTTTTCATAATTTGTCGCCTCTAAATCGACTAGTCTATAAATGTGCATGTGATGTTGCATTTTTTTCTAGTAAATTCAGTATGGCCAGCGCTGTAATGAAAGCGTGAGCATCATGGCTTTCAATATCCTGTTGTTCAATATCTTGCTGAAAAAATTACACAAATTTGTCAGTCTTTGTGTAGTAAACTGCTATTTGAGATTGAAATTAGCTACGTTCTATCCTTAAGTGATTTTACCGGAACAAATAGTTTCAGTGAACTTCAGAGTATATCAGTATGAGCCGCTTAGAAGTAAAGTTCGAAAGTTTCCATAATTCAGACTCCTCAAAACACATTATCGTTAATCAAGTTGTCATGCGATGTGTTCATGTCAGTCACTCGGTCCATTAATCGATTGATTTGCAAATTGTCGTTTATGAAGAAGCCTTCGTTGGGCGAAGTCTCTAATCCCCTCTCTTACCCTACCTGGTTAGCCATGGGCAATTGTTTCATGAATACTTCCAAAATAAAACAAAAATCATCATGCTTATTTGAAAAGTACCCCCTAAAATCGCATACAAGTAGGCTTGCAAAAATTATATTTTATTTCCTGTGTTGTTATCTGATATGCTTGTCATAACTTTCTTAGACAAATTTCCACTACAGTGTACCGAGGATGACTGAATCAAGACTGGCGTACAAGGAAAACGTATATCTATTCAATGACTGCAGTCAAGCCCATAGCTAGAAATTAGAAGAACTAGAAAGCAAGACGCAACCTTCAAACAGCAGCATAGAGACCACTTGGAGCCTGACAGCATCGTGCTTCCTTAGAATATTAGAGATTTATGTCAGTCATTTGCCTTAGTTTCTACAGCTGTTCCGCTGTACCGCTCACGAGGAAGACATTTTATTCCTGTTAAAGTGCCGGGTAGAAAATAAAGTTGAATTGTCATAGGATGAATTAAATTTGCTTATATTGCTAGGGTTTCTTCGATCATATTCTACAGTCTACAGATTGTGTTTATAAGTAATTATTTATACGTTTAGTTTGAGTTTTGTCTCTCGAAATGTTTTATATAACACCATATTTTTCTTTCATGTTAATGCTGATTGTTTGATGGTATAAAACATACCGATAAACACGTCACAATTAAGCAATAGACTATACTTTCTATCGTCAAGGCTAACTCAGACATACCCTTCTTTACACAGGTAATGGTTTTGAACTTTTAAGGACCGGAAACTGTGATGATTAGATAATCCAAAGAACATCGCTTTCAACTGATGGTCTCCCTGCTCCGTCTACATGCTTCGGCACAATGCAACTATTCTTAAAATGACCTTTTAAATGCGAAGGTTTTGGAACGGCATTTTTAGCTTTTCCGAAGACAAACCTCTTGCCAAAATTGACTATAACAGGGTAGAAGCTAGGCTTCACGTTTATCTAAAACAACGTTTAAGGTTATTGTAAGCAAATCCACACTTATGGATATCGTCTAACGCAACTGCCGTGTAAGGAGGGTAAAGAAGAGCATAAAAATAACCCTCAGGTATACACTACCCAATAGGATATCGAAGAGATAAAAGTAACCCTTTGGCATACACTACCCAAGAGGGTATAGTAGCGATTTAAAGTAAGCCTTAGGTATACACTACCCAAGATGGTATAGTAGAAATTAACAGTAACCCTCAGGTATACACTACCCAAGAGGGTGTAGGAGAGATTTAAAGTAACCCTTAGGTATACACTACCCAAGAGGATATAGAAGAGATTGAAAATAACCCTCAGGTATACACTACCCAAGAGGGGATAGAAGAGATTGAAAATAACCCTCAGGTATGCACCTCTGTCATTAATTGAGTTACTCGCTACGAATTTTAAAGACGCTACATTTATTGTTCATCTTGCGATCCAGTACCTCAGGTTGAAGGTTGTTCTTCAAATGGTCTGTCTTGTACTCGTGCTTCTGGCCCCAAAACTCATTTTGTACATGTCATTCAGTGAGTTACTCGCTACGAATTTTAAAGACGCTACATTTATTGTGCATCTTGCGATCCAGTACCTCAGGTTGAAGGTTGTTCTTCAAATGGTCTGTCTTGTACTCGTGCTTCTGGCCCCAAAACTCATTTTGTACATGTCATTCAGTGAGTTACTCGCTACGAATTTTAAAGACGCTACATTTATTGTGCATCTTGCGATCCAGTACCTCAGGTTGAAGGTTGTTCTTCAAATGGTCTGTCTTGTACTCGTGCTTCTGGCCCCAAAACTCATTTTGTACATGTCATTAAGTGAGTTACTCGCTACGAATTTTAAAGACGCTACATTTATTGTGCATCTTGCGATCCAGTATTCCTTTGCAATAATGCAATACCTTGAGAATTAGAGTGTCGGCTGTCAGATCACCCGATCACAGACAATCATACGTCAATCATCTTATACCAAAGAATCAAAAGCACTCATCCGGATGGCTGAGTCCAACACAACAATGAAATGTCTGTTGTAAAATGCAAATATTACGACAAAGTTCCAAAACACTGCAATCCCTAGTTCTTTCCCTGCCAAGATCTCATTGGTAATATTCCCTACTGTCTGTTGTAAGCGATAAATGTGAATCAATGTAGAGTACGTACGGCTCTGTCAATTCCCGGAGAAAGTCAGGTGTGCATTGGTCAGGCCCAAAACAGGGAGATAGAACGGAAGAATTGAAAGTAACAACTTCAGTTCTTGGTCAGTGACTCAATTTTATCTTTTATGTGATATACTAATTTTACGTGATCAACTACATACATGCCTGAATGTTCCCTTATTAATAAACTCAGTAAATTAAACTTACCTTCACAATGACCTTAGCTTCGTTACTCAGTGTTTACTGTTTATCTTCGAAGAAGGACTGAATTTCTAAATAAAAAAAAAACAAGTAAACATGTACAGAGAACCTCATAATCAACCATCTTGTTGTTGATTAAGGTAATGAGCCGTTAGTCTGTTCACGCGAATTTAATTTCAGTGAAATATTCATCGTTCTACAAGTTCCATATTTTGATCTTAACTTGAGTGCAATGCTTTAATTATGTAGGATGTATACCCATTTGAAGATAAAAAAGGAACAAAATACATGTTTCAAGAACCTCGACAAAGGACGCTGATGGAAACATTTCAATTAATTTAAGGATGGAAGGTCTACCACTCGCAAGTGATGGAGCTTATGACGAAGACGATACCAAATTCGTGCCATATTTTACTTACACTTTAAGCTAAAGCGTTCTTTAGCTACACTTCGTTTGCAATGCCTTAAGCACCGAAATCGCTCTGTAAAATTATGCAACATTCATCGAACTAACTGAGAAGTAACATCAACTTTGACTCTTTGAGTGCAATTAATGCTTTAATTCTGTAGGATGTAAACGCGTTTGAAGATAAAAAAGAAGCAAAATACAGGTTTCAAGACCCTCCAGAAAGGACGCTGATGGGAACATTCCAATTTAAGGATGGAAAGTCTACCTCTCACAAGTGATGGAGCTTATGACAGACACGATACCAAATTCGTGTCATATTTTACTTCCTTAAGCTGCCCTTCGCTTGCGTTACCTTAAGCACCGAAATTGCTCTGTAAAATTATGCAGCATTCATCGAACTAACTGAGAAGTGACATCGACTTTGACTCTAGCATTTTTGCGTTATACGTCAAACAAAAAAGACTACTTTCAAAATTGAGCTTTTGCCTACATTAAAATTTAGCTTACACATACCAATAAGATTACTGAGTTTAAAGAACCGGAAAGCTTTGACAACGATTATTGACGGTGTGCGTTTCTTTATGCGCAATTCGTAAATGTCTCCACATAAGTACACATGTTTCAAGACCCTCGACAAAGGACGCTGATGGAAACATTCCAATTTAAGGATGGAAGGTCTACCACTCACAAGTGATGGAGCTTATGACAAACATGATGCCAAATTCGTGTCATATTTTACTTCCTTAAGCTGCCCTTCGCTTGCGTTGCCTCAAGCACCGAAATTGCTCTATAAAATTATGCAGCATTCGTCGAACTAACAGAGAAGTGACATCGACTTTGACTCTAGCATTTTTGCCTTATACGTCGGAAAAAAAAGACTACTTTCAAACTTGAGCTTTTGCCTACATTAAAAATTAGCTTACACATACCAAGAAGCTTGCTTAGTTTAAAGAACCGGGAAGCTTTGACAACGATTATTGACGGTGTGCGTTTCCTTAGGTGCGATACATAAATGTCCCCACATAATTATCTAACGAGGGTTTGTTAAAATCATTTTGCTTACCCTCAGCTTTGAGCTTCTCTCCTGATATAGACACAATCTGTCACTCAACGCTTGACATCGACTCGACCAGCAGCTGTCGGAAAAAAACTGATATGAATTCAACTCAATCAAATAAAACCGCTCGGTTTCGATTCTTAATCAAATATCTCAAGTATGCCTTCAAGTGAAGGCTGTTCTTCAAATCGCCTGTCTCGTACCCATGCTTCTGGCCCCAAAACTCATTTTGTACATGTCAACAAGCGAGTTGCTCTTTACGAATTTAAAAGACGCTGGATTTTTTTTCCGTCTTGCGATCCACTATTCCTATGCAATGCGGCAATGCCCCGAGAATTAGGGTGTCGTTTGTCAGATCATGCGATCACACAGTTAGACGTCAATCACCTTATATCAAAGAATCAAAGGCACCCATACGGATGACTGAGTCCAACAGAACAATGAAATGTCTGATGTAAAATGCAAATGTTACGAGAAAGTTCCAAAACACTGCAATCCCTAGGCCTTTCCCTGCCTAGATCTCATTGGTAATATTCCTTACTGTCTGTTTTGAGCGATAAATGTGAATCAATGTAGAGTACGTATGGGTCTGTCAATTCTCGGAAAGAGTCAGGCGTGCATTGGGTCAGCCCCAAAACAGAGAGATAGAGCGGAAGAATTGAAAAAAATAACTGCAATGCTTTTTGAGTGACTCAATAACTGAGAAGTGCCATCGACTTTGACTCTAGCATTTTTGCGTTATACGAATACAAACAAAAAAAAAAAGACTACTTTAAAAATTGAGCTTTTGCCTACATTAAATTTAGCTTACACATACTAATCAGCTTGCTCGGATTTTAAAGAGCTGGGAAGCTGTGACAACGATTATTGACGGTGTGCGTTTCTTTACGCGCAATTCGTAAATGTCCCCACATAGTTATTTTACGATGATTTGTTAAGAGCGTTCTTCTTACCTTTAGCTTTGAGCTTCTCTCCTGATATAGACACAATTTGTCACTCAACGCTTGAAGTCGATTCGACCAGCAGCTGTCGGAAAAACTGATATGAATTCAACTCAATCAAATAAAACCGCTTGGTTTCGATTCTCGATCAAATACCTCAAGTTGAGGGTTGTTCTTCAAATCGTCTGTCTCGTACCCGTGCTTCTGGTCCCAAAACTCATTTTGTACATGTTAACAAGTGAGTTGCTCTTTACGAATTTAAAAGACGCTGGATTTTTTTTCCGTCTTGCGATCCACTATTCCTATGCAATGCGGCAATGCCCCGAGAATTAGGGTGTCGTCTGTCAGATCACGCGATCACACGGCCATACGTCAATTAACTCATACCAAAGAATCAAAGGCACTCATCCGGATGGCTGAGTCCAACAGAACAATGAAATGGCTGTTGTAAAATGCAAATGTTACTACAAAGTTCCAAAACACTGCAATCCCTAAGCCTTTCCTTGCCTAGATCTCATTGGTAATATTCCTTACTGTCGGTTGTAAGCGATAAATGTAAATCAATGTAGAGTACGTACGGCTCTGTCAATTCTCGGGAAGAGTCAGGCGTGCATTGGTCAGCCCCAAAACGGGGAGATAGAACGGAAGAGTTAAAAGTAATAACTGGAATGCCTGTTGAGGGGTTCAATTTTATCTTTTAAGTGACTTACCGATCTTACGTGATTAACTACATGCCTGCATGAATGTTTCCCTATTTATAAACTCATTGGATTAAACTTACCTTCCCAATGACCTTTTCTTCGTTAGTCAATGTTCACTGTTTATCTTCGAAGAAAGAATGGATTTCTAAATGAAAACGTAACAAGTTAATATGCACAGAGAACCGTATGATCAAACTGTCAACCGCCATCTTGCTGTTGGTTGAGGTTGAGTCGTTAGTATGTTCACGCGAATTTAATTTCAGTGAAATAATTTTCGTTCTACTCGTTTGATATTTTGAATTATATTTGAGTGCATTGCTTGAATTCTGTAGGATATGTACTCGTTTGAAGACAAAAAAGGAACAAAACACATGTTTCAAGAACCTCGACAAAGGACGCCGATGGAAACATTTCAATTTAAGAGTGGAAGGTCTACCACTCGCAAGTGATGGAGCTCATGACAAACACGATGCCTAGTTCGTGTCATATTTTGATTACACTTTAAGCTGAAGCGTCCATAAGCTACCCTTTGCTTGCAATGGTCTCAGTGTAGGGCTTTAAGCGCCGAAATTTCTAAGTAAAATTATGAAGCAAACATCGAATTAATTGAGAACTGACGTCAACTTCATTTTGCGTTTAAGGTGTGCTACGTTTAATTCCTTGATGGAAATTATTTATATTATGACAATATCAACCAATTATCCAAACTCTTCCCCTCCCCTCCACCGGAAGTAAATTACGACCGGTCCCTAACGTCAACTACACAGTAAAAGAAAAAAAAGCAAAACAAAAACAAGAACAAAAAAAAAACGCAAAAACAGAAACAAAAACAACAACAACCCAAAAAAATGGAAAAACAAAGAGAGTTTCCCACTTACAAGATGTTGAAGACATGTTCTTTAGGCTGACGATGTGAGATTGCTTCTTTCTGCTCAGGGGGAAATTAAAAGTAAAGCATCTATAATTATTTATCATGGGGGGGGGGAGAGAAAGAATGAAGGGGGATCACATGGTTTTCAGGGTAACAGGGGGGAGCAACAGTCATAGCTAACAAGGTATGGGGGGGGGGAGCTATAGAACATTTACTGCCAATGAAAGGGGTCATTAAAAAACTACAAAGCTTTTTTTTGGGGGGGGGGGCCCACAAGGTTAATTTCAGTGTGATACAACAAAAATCCTCCTATTCCCTCCCCAGGCAATATATGCGTAGTGACTGTACTCTCACCACTGCACCACCCTTGCTTCCACAATTGAAGCCTAAAAATTTTTAATTAAGGTTCAAAAATTGCTTTTCATTTCCATGAGAAAACCAAAGGTCTGTGTTTCAGGTAATATAGCACTGAATTGCAACCAGCTCCCTTCTTTATTTTCTTGAATCATGACTGATGACTCTAAATTTGGAAATTTCAGCCTGGTTAAAGCTAGGAATGGGTCTCTATTCTTTCCTTGCATCCACCCCCCCCCCCCCCCCTCATTTGCCTTCTCACTAAAGGGAGTTCAGCTGGGAAGGAAGAGATCATGACATTGAAGTAAGTGATTGCTGATTTACAATCATAATTACCTCAATTTTTGCACAATTGTTAAAAAGTTTTGGGTATCATCCACAATGTGTCAGGATGCTATATTACATGAAAAATAATTTGACAAAGAAATAAAAGGGAAACTCATCTTAAGCAAGAACAGTTGTACCTCAAATCAAAGTAAACCTGAAGTGAATTCATGGGTAGTATTATGCCCCAAATTAATTTTTTTGGTCAGGTCAGCCTCTTAAGGTTGCATACTGTCCGCTAAACATTTCTTAAGGTTCTGTCAAGGAGAATTTGTTTAACAATCAAGAGCTTCTTTTCCTGTATTCTTATAACCTTGATGTGTGATTCAGGGGTGATAATATTACTCATGCTCTCCCCAGACTCCTAAGGCTGCGCTAATGCAATGCATTGCATAATGCATCTTCTTATTACTCCTTCCAGTATATGCTTTGCTCATCCAATAGCAAAAAGGGTCACCTAACCTTTAATCTCTCAACCTTTCTTTTGGCCAGTGTTTGTTGGGCTTCTTCTCTAAATGAAGTCTGCAAGATGCAAAGACACTTCAAAATTAAAATCAGTTTAGACATGACCTGCTAAAGCTACTGGCTAACATTCATAATACAACATATTTAGCAATTTTGTGACTGCATTACAACCTGATTAGCCTGTGGTTAACTATAATCGTGATATTTTGCCACACCCAAGGATCTTAGCTGACCATACTGGCCTGTTTGTATAGGTAACAACATGATTTTTAATGCAATTTGGTGTTACTAAACATGAATTAATTTTTCAAAGACAGCAGAATTACACTCATCCATAGGGCAAGTACTATTTGTAGTCTTTGAAAAATTTACTAGTGCTTATTTAAACCAAATTGCACAAGAAATCATGTTGTTACTTGTTAGTAATTTACATGAAAAACCCATCACAGAAAGTCAAAACGGATGAAATTTTGGCTGCATCCATGTGCTATTTGTAATTTGCACTTGTGTTAAAACTTTGCACTTGTATTATATGAGATATATGCCTAATTTTTTCATGTAAATTATTAATGAATTAATTATCTCTATTTATATCAAGCCAGAGTGGCAAGAGTAATGTGGAGTACCAGCAAAGGGAAGCTATTCCTCGTAGTTGTACCCAAAGTGAACATGAACCAGACAAAAACTTAATTAAGTCACTTTAGCTCTATATTTGAGTGTTATCAACACCCATCTTTGATTCACAAACTACATCTGACATATATATTCCACTATCTCTGCTACCACACAGAACACAAATAAAAGTTTTGAGGTACATGCAAGACTATACACGAAAAAATTAGTCTAAATTTAATTATTAAAACTCAAATTAAAAAAATTATCCACTTCTCATCGGCTAAAAATGAATGCATTCTCATGTAACACAAGTGAGTGCAAATTACAAATAGGCCATTTTACAGTTGTGTACTTAGTTGCCAAGCCTTTGATTTGAAGTGAGGCTGAAGGTGACCTTGTTGTGTTAGAGACCAGAATCTAGTTAGCATGATAACAAATTAATTTGCATTTCAAAAGCAGCAAGGTTTGTAACATAACAAGGTCACCCTTAGCCTCACTCCTGTTCAAAGGCTTGGCAACCAAGCACACAACTGTAAAATGGACTATTGAGCTTGCATGCTTTCAAATTTTGTCTGTCTTGACTTTCTGTGATGTTTTTAGATGTTTTTTCATGTACATTATGAGCAAGTGATACAATACTTTCCCGTGTAATTTTTTGTAATAAGCGCTTGTAAAGTTTTCAAAGACTACAAATTGCACTTGCCCTACCAGCTCATGCAATTTTGTTGTCTTTGTGCTAGTTAACACCAAATTGCACTCATAATCATATTATTACCAATACAAAACTGCAGCTGTAAACCAAGCAGCGAGGGCCCAAAGCAAAGGAAATTAATTATCATGACTTAAACTTTAAAAAAAATGTGGGGAAAGACACAGTATATATTTCAGTATTCTCATCACTTGTTTTCTGGATAATGTAGGGAGAAGTTACATGTTAATCACTTCTGAGAGTTCAGAAGGGTTACCGGTAACTCCAAGATGTGATTTATATGTAACTTATACTTACAATATTAGCAAACTATCCAGCAAAAGACTTGATACACATATTAACTGGAAAAGTTGTGTGGTGATGTAACATCATATTCTCCCTACTAATTTACAAGAAAACATATGGTGGCATGAAGGGAGGATTAATAAGATGTTGACGGTTGAGGGACCTGTTTCACTCTTCCCTTAGTTGCTCAAAAGCAAACTTTTCATAATTTATTCAAAATGATTAAAAGGCTTTTCACCAGCAGTGTGTCAGGAAAGAAATCTTTCCTTGATCACAGTGTGTATGTACAATCCATCTATTACCGACTAGTTATTGGACAAGGTTGAGCATGATGTATAATGATAATAGGACCAAGTAAAGTCCAATTCTGTCTGTAATCATACAAGTGATTAACCCTTTAATCCCCAAAAGTGATTAACTTGTATCTTCTCCCTAATGTCCATACATAGTCTATTCAGCAAACAGGTAGAAGATAGAATAAAAAAATATTTGAAAAATTCATATGACAGTGCTTATTTTAAAAAATTGCAAGAGAAATCATCTTATTTCTTGTTCATTAAATGAATGGACATGAAAAAACATCACTGAAAGTCAAGACAGATGGAATTTTGAAAGATTGCACACACTATTTGTAATTTACACTTATGATACAACTTTGCACTCCTGTTACAAGAGAATGCACTTGTTTTCAGCCAATCAGAAGCTTGTAATTTTCTCATGTACATTATCAAACACTGTAATAATTTGGTGCAAGTGTTTTAGATGACTTCATGAAGTAGCCCTCAGGTATACACTACCCAAAAGGGTATAGGGGAGATTAAAAATGAACCCCAGGTATAAACTACCCAAAAGGGTACAAGAGAGATTATTTCATGAATCACACATTTTCTTTTGTTATTCAACATCCTTTATTTAACTTACATACTTCATGAATATTAAACTAACTGAAAGTCCGGGGAGGGCTTGATAA